GCCTTGGCGAGGAGAGCTCCCCACAGCTAGCTGTGGAGCCAAAGCAGGAGCAGCTTGAAAGTGACAGGGCAAACACTTGCGAGGTCTTGCGATCTTTCCTTTTTCTTGCCTGCTTTTCTATTATCCATTTTCTTGGTTGGCGTATCGTTTTGTTTTGAATCTCCGATGAATGGAGCTGGCTATTTGCAATCCGGAATTGTGTCAAATCCAGACAGCTTGCAGGAAAGCCACGGCAATGGTGTAACGGACAAGGCTAAGACTGAATGAATTTGATATTTCTATCGGTATTTTGCTGTGTGTCCCCAAAGCTGGGGTACGCCAGATTTTGCCCGACTAATCCTGGTTCTTGACGACAGCTTGTTGTTTTGTGTTTTTTTGCCTGGGCACAGGCAACTGTCAGCTTCTCGAGAAAAGCCTTCAAATGGAACAAAGGTGCACATAAGACCGATGAGGCTTGCAGACATGCCACATGAGAATTCTTCGGATTCGGACTCTTTAGATCTTTGGACAGTCCTTGCTGTCGCTCCCTGTCAGGCCTGGTTCAGACAAGAGCTGACATATCTTCCTCCACCAACTGAGTGAGGGCCATCGACACCTGCCTGTCACTGCGGGCATAGCCGACTTGGCATAGCTCATTTGGAAAAAGAGCACGGGCAGTGCGGTCTTCGTTAGTCAATACTCCTGGCTTTCGATGTCTTACAAGTTCTCTCAGTGTCATTTTTTTCACAGGTCATGCCCTGGAACCACCCAAGGAGGAAGCCTTTAGTTTTTGGATTGACTTTGAAATCTTTAAACTTTAAACATAATTTCAGAGCTTTGGAGTTTGGGTTCAGCGGTGTGGCAAAGATGTTGTTTACTTTGACATCAAGATCACCTAGTCAAACTCGTGCCATGTAGCCATTTCAGCTGGAGGGGAACCTGTCGTGGCAGCCTAGAGGCAAGTGATTGGGCCACTGACTGATAGGGTGAAGCATGGTGAAGCTTAGACAGCTCAGAGAGGGCTGAACTCTAGGGATCTATTCGCGGTTTCGCTTCAGCATTTGTGACAAAGTATTCATGCACTTCGCTTCCAACATGTCAGACTTTCACCTTGTTTCGCATGACCGGAAGGCTCTTTGAATTCTCAAGTGTCATGGCAGAGATTCGCAGGAACAGTGATGGGTCTTTGAGGCGAATGGAAAGTTATCCCCTTCACAGTTTCAGTTTGGGGGGCAATGGCTCGACCAGCCCGGTGAGTCCGTTGACCCGAGGAGTCGACGGGGTGTGTCACACCAACAGCATGGGGCAGGCAATCAGCCAAATTTTTGAAAAATTGGACGGCCTGGCACAGCTTCACAAGTCCGTCAGCGAAGTTCAAACGTAGATTAATTTGCTTCAAGGATCTGTGGTGTTCCAGGGCAAGGTTCTGGAAGAAGTTCGCTGCATTGTAAGCCCAGGCAGCGCAGGAGGAACACGTTCTTTTGATCTAAGTCAAGACTTTGGGTCAGAGCGAGTTGCAGCAGTTCCCAGTGAGGATCCTCCCTTGCTGCCAATTGTTCCTGGTCAAGTTGAGGGAGTCCAAGAGAGTCACGGCCCAGGTGGGCCAAGTGGTAACAGCAGCCTGGTGGGTTCCAACAACAAGAGTGTCCGCAGTGTTCGCTTTGACAAGTCTGCCGGGCCACGGAAGAAGAAACTGGTTCGCAAACCATCTCCACTGATCCGTTCCTCCCATGCCTCCACCATCAACGACTTGGAGGCTCAGACAGCACAGGAGCTCCTGGGCCTGGGAGGCAAAAAAGGACCTCCAGCAAGATCTCCGAAAGCACGGCCAAGCACAGCCAGGGGAGTGCACCCGGTGCCAGCAATGAAAATCTAGTGGGGGACCCCTCTCTGGTGGTCAATCTAGAAACAATGTTACCAAAGAGCAGCAATCACAGCCATCGTGCAACTCTGGCAGCTGACAAGGAGGGCGTTCTGAAGATGTGCCGCCGTTTGTCTTTGGATGAATTACAAACAAGTCATGATGCTCACATTGCCCGCACCCAGGCTGCCGAAGTATCAGTTGGGACGTCGGTTAAACGGCCAATGCCGACACTGGACACTGACGCAGATTCGATGGTGTGTGCTGCCCGTTTTTGGCTTCTCTTTGTTGGCATATTGGGGTTCAGGAATGCAAAGGCTGGATTTTTGTGGTTTATTGCAATCTCACTTCCCCTTCTCGCTCAGATTGCTTGTTTGGTCTATTTCAATGCAACCGGCAAGGCTGACACTTACCGCACTGGCATTACTCTGTGTCTCATGCTTGGGTCAACGATTGCTTCATTGAGCATGCGAAGAGCCGAAATTCACTTGCTGTTGGGACATGAAGATGGAGGTTTGGAAGAGTATGCTCGGACATCAGGCTTTTTGAAAGACTGGAGGCGGATATCCAGAAGGCGTTTGCTCGAGGTGCTGTCCGTCTTAATGATGATGTTGTCTTGCCGCTGGTTAGGAGATGTTTTCACAGAGCCTTCTTTGGAAAGCATCATCATAGCTGTTTGCTTCTCCTCCACAGCTGTCGGCTGTGCAGCAGTGTCTTACACCCAACTGCATATTGTGGCTGGAATGGATTTGGCCGTTGACAGTTTCTGTATCAATTTCTTCCGGGAGATGGACATGGAACAAGCGCTGAACGAATGGAACACCGTCCAAGCAACCCTGCGCCAAGTCTCAACGAAGCTGAGTCGATCTATGCTGGCGCTCGGCGCCTCCTGCGGGGCATCCCTGCTCTTGCTGGCGGAGTATACTTTTTTCCACACCGATTCCAGCATTTTTGTGGATCAGCTGCAGCCTGGGGTGCAGATGGCCTTCTTCTTGGGATGGCTATTTCCACCTGTGCTGCTGTTCCTATACTCCATGATGCGAGCAGCTGGAGTCACTGAGAAGGCAAGCAGGGTAGCACCTCTGGTGAATTCCTGGCACTTTGGGGATCAGGAGGATGACAACGTACCGTCCTGGATGGATCTTGGACGTCAGTACATTGTGCAATACATGATTCAGAGTGAAGCAGGTTTCTATGTGCAGGGTGTTCGATTGCATGCCTTCCAGGTCACGAAGCTCAGCTACTACTTTGCGGCGTTCATTTTCGCAGTGCTTTCCAAAACTACCAACAATTGCATATTTGGCTTATCCAAATTAAATGCGCAGCAGCTTTAGTCCTGCTGCATACCGTGATTCATTGTTTGCAGATGTGTACAGCTTGACAGGTGACAGCATGAAGAGTGCGTGTCATTGATTCTTGGCTGCCTGCTTGCTGTTCCCATAGGGAACATCACTACTCCGACAATGCCCCATGTCACCATGCACACACGTTGTAATCAGTTGATCATGTTGATAACTAGAAGCGAACATCCCTTACCCCTTGCCCTCAAGTTTTGTGCAGCCGGAGTGTCTTTTTTTAAAGCATGGCGCCCTTGTACTCGGGACGAAGTTGATACTGGTACCTGTCCTGCAACTTGTGGAAGTGTCATGCGGCCTCTCTGAAGCTGATAGCGCAACCCCAATGCGGTTGCCGCCAGTGGCCTTTGAAAGAGATTAATGAAATATTCTGAAATAAATTGACATAAACTCTTGTTCACAATGGCTGCCAGCCAGTAGCAGGATTGCAGTCGTCAACTTCCATAGTCGTTTGAATCACTGCGATCGAAATCCCCGAAGGGCCTTTGGTTATCTTTGGTTCGCCTGCAACTTTTGAAGTGGTGTAGCGAGTCTCATGGTTGAATGGCAAAAGTTGGTTCACCATCTTTCCAACAACGACTTTTGGATGAAGAGATTTCAAGTTGCTCAACCCTCCTCGCTACTGGAGCTGGAGCGCATGAGACTCTCCAGTGAATCCAAGCACCGAATGGTGCCATGAAAAGATGGCAATGTCGGGAATAGCAACAAGCATTTTGAGTTGCTGTCCACATGAAATGCCTGCAGAGTTTGAAGGTGGCTGCCGGCACATGATTGCGTGGAAGTGGCGGAGTTTCTAGCCAATGGGCCTCCAAATCTTCCCCATTCCATGCCGCCATGTCATGGCTGCAAAGCAGTCAGTGAATTGGTGCACTTGGTGCAGCAAACGATTTCTGCCAATTAAAACTGCCTGTTCCGATCCGACGTGGTGCAGAGGCTTCCAGGGCTTCAGCACCACATCTGGATGGCCATTTCGCAATCATCCGTGGCGGGAAAGCGATGCCGGGCATGGGGGCATGGGCAGTACAGGTTACTGATTCCAAATGGCAATTTGAATAAGGAAAATTCTGAGTAACCAGCCAATGTTCAGACAAACCCATATAGGTACCTTGTGGTTTAGTCATGTGTCCTTTCGCACTTGGTTTGGTCAATGTGGTGCAGTGCCCAAAACTGTTTTCCGTTCCCTCTCTCTCTCTCTCTCTCGCGCTCTCTCTCCCTGAAAGGTACAATGCTTGCTGCCAACCTGACATGTGCCTATGGGTCTTGACTGGTGAGGCTGCTCGGCTTGTTGTGAGGAAAAGTACTGGGGTAAATAATATCTAAAATATCTTCTGACATTCTTTCTGGCATTATCATCTGGTGTTATATCTTCGGAGATTATTCGTGGATGAGGTCCGGCGGGGAACACTCTGATCCGGAGCTCGCAGTTGAGGTCCGGCGGGGAACACTCTGATCTGGAGCTTGCGGTTGAGGTCCGGTGGAGAACACTTTGATCCGGAGCTTGCGGTGGAGGTCCGGCGGGGAACGCTCTGTTCCGGAGGTTGCTATTGGGGTCCGGTGGGGAACACTGCGATCTACGGACGAAGGTGGAGGAAGGAGGAGGCCACAGTATAGGAAGGGAGATGAAGGATGAGACCTTAGGAGTCCGTCTGCATTCCACCTTATTCGTCCCCTTCTTCTTCCTTCTTCTTCCTTCCTCTTCCTTCTTCTTCCTTCTTCTTCCTTCTTCTTCCTTCTCCTTCCTTCTTCTTCTTTCTTCTTCCTTCTCCTTCCTTCTCCTTCCTTCTTCTTCCTTCTTCTTCCTCCTTCTTCCTTCTTCTTCCTTCTTCTTCCTTCTCCTTCCTTCTCCTTCCTTCTTCTTCTTTCTTCTTCCTTCTTCTTCCTTCTCCTTCCTTCTCCTTCCTTCTCCTTCCTTCTTCTTCTTTTGAGGAGGAAGGAAGAAGGCGGGCTTGCTAACATAAAATTTAACAACCCTCACCTGACAGGCGGGGAAAAAGGACAAAACAAACATAAAACAAACAGAACAAGAAGAAACAGGAGTTACAGAAACTGCGACAAGAGAATCAGTATGTAGGGTAACCTAATCGTCACTTCTCTGTGGCAGGTAGATGCAGAAAACATGGTTATGAACACTTCGATTATCTTACTTGATTTCAGGGCAGAAATTTAGCAGCAGCAAAATCAACACTTATTAGGAAAAACCAAGTCTATTTACTATTTTACCCCTTCAAGTATATCCACAATGGGAAATATATTCCCAGGGCACCGTTATGCACATGCCTGTAAAGCCTCATCGTGCGTAATCCAAGTATACAAGCAGTGGGCAGTGCTGTTTGTCGTAGAGCTTTGCAAGCCAGCAAAGCCAGTGAGACCAAGACAGAAAAAAGGAAAACCAGGCAAAATTTGATGAATTGGAAAGCCGAGGAACACCTTGAGGGAAATTACCTATGCAAAATTTTGCCGCTATTTGCTCGCAGTATTTGTGGCAAGGTTGGAAAAAAGTGGTCTTGCCTTCCAATTGCCGGAAAACCAAGCTGTTTGGTCCCTTTTTCCTTTCCAACACCGCAAGCAAGACACATCCTAAATGCGAGTTGCATATCCCATTCATGGCGTAACATGTGAACCATATGGGCGTTTCCGGTATAGCCCGTTTTTCAAGCTCAAAACTGGTCGCAAGACCGCGGCGTCCAACTGAAGGAGTCTGGAAAGAGAGTTAAAAGTGCAGCCCTCCAGCTTGAGGTAGTGAAGATTCAGGTGAGGTGGGTGAGAAGTGCCTGGGTGACCTGTCGTCCAGCAGGTTATGATCCCAACGCATAGTGGCTCCTCTGAGAGGATCTGAAGGTCAAGCTTTCAAAGTTCGAGGAGTCAAAGCAGGAGCAGACAGCGTCAAGCACCTGGGCAATGCTGTGAACCGGGGGGCGGAGATGGCTTTGGTGGTGTGGTGGATGGAGAGAGGGCTAGGAAGCAATCCACAAAAACACTTTTGCCTGTCCCAGCAGCTCCCCTAGGATCTCCCAAGCCGCTCGGTCCCAAGAACTTCCAGCCGTTGTTTGGTGAAGTTCAGATAAGAAAACTGAGGAACTGAGGTTGACTGCACCACTTTTGCACGGACCACCCCACCCCACCCCAGTCTTTGTCTGAACCGAAAAGGGGCTCGAGTCGCGAGTGATCGATTTTCGGAATCGCAAGTGACATATATGAGATGTAGGTGACGCGGGGTCGCAAGTGACAAATTTTCGGAGTCGCAAGTGACAGCCGCGCCCAACGGGGGAAGCCTCAAGATTTCTGAAGGCACCTCCATAGCAGCAAGCACCGCTGCTTTCTCGTGTGAGCCTCCCGGCTGGTAGTTGTTGAGAAAGCTCTGTGAGCATGGCCAGCATGGAGGGCAACGATGTCATCCCGTTGGCTACCCGGAAGGGCTTGAAGAAGCAGACTGCTTCCCTCTTCTCCTTCTGTTGAAGCTGGGGCGGCTGCTTTACCTCATGCTTGAGCTTGTCGATGGGCTTCATGGCCTGGTGTTTTTGGTACCAGCTGCGGGGTGTCTCTACCAACAACAAATCCTGCAGGTCCACCCGCGCATTCTCCACCATCCATTCGGGGATATTGTGTAACTCCGCATTGCCACGAACTGCTTCTTCAGCATCCCCCTCCTCGCGAAGTCTCCCGGTCCAGAAGTTGTTGTTGCACGGCCTGCATGCTTTGCATGAGCTGCAGCATCACGTCCACAGTGGTGCTATTCTGCTTGGGTCTTCCTCTCTGACCTCCATTTCCTTTCTCAGTTTCTGTCTCATCCTCTTGGATAGACTGGCTTTCTTCGCTTTCTTCTTGCTGGCACTGTGGCCCATCCTCCTTCAAACCTTCTTCACACTTCTCCTCTGTCACCTCCTGCGCACTTCATCTTCGAAGCTTTAGAATTTTCAACCTTCGCTGATTCCACATCTTTGGTCCTGAGGTTCGGCTGGGGTGACATCGGGCGGTGTTGTATACCTAGTCTCTCTCTCTCTCTCTCATCCATGAATTGCATTTTCAACCGAACATCTTATTCCTCCGTCTGACTCAGCGCTTTAGACATCTGAGCCCTTTCTTGACGAAACTGCCGCATCATCTCCTCAAAAATCATTTGTTGTGGTTGTTGGGGAATGTGTATCCAAAACCTTGTGGTGGTGCTACGGGATATCCCATGGGGGTATCATCAAAACTGCACGAGCCACCATTCGGTGAGCAAGGGAACACATCTCTAGTTGTGGAAACTCCTGGGCAACCTGCATGCTCCATAGGTGCATCGGGGCTGTGGCGCTGCAATGACTACACTTGGATCACGTACCTCCTCCGTGTTTGAATGCTATCGAGCAGAGCGATACATCCTCTAACATGTCTGCACCGGTGCTGGGGTGTTCAAAGACAAGGTCGATGTCTTTGGCCTGTTTGACTTACCACCAACTTTTCAGTGATCATCTCTGGAATGCCTTGGAGGGCCGGATGATCTTTGTCCAAACGCTCCAACCAACCGACACGCGCGCCAGTCGTTGAGCAGTCTATGCTCCTCATCTTCGGTGACTTCTTCTCCAGCTCCTGAATCAAGCCCAGGCATCATGATTCGGCTGGAAAGCACTCTGCAAGTTGGTCGATGCATGCCATAGTCGGAAACTGAATCCACCATCAACGCAGCTCTCCTCAAGTTGATGCAAACCTGCCAGGTCGGATTGCCAGCCAAAACTGCCCCAACCAGGTGATCCAGCCCACGGAGCAAAACCGAAGGATCGTGTAACATCATTCCCATATCCTCTGCACGGTTCTTCCATCGAAGCCTGAGGGGCGAGCACCTCCGATTTTTCGTCGCTTACACCTTCAAATTCTTGTCGCGTGTAACCCCAAATCGGGACCTATGTGCATGGCGACATCGATATTTTTGTTTCGTCTCAGGTAATGTGACATAGAGCAACTTGAAACGAGTGCATGGATTCTTGTAAATGAATGTTTGC